TTTGTCTTCCACCCCGGAACTTCCAGGGTCAGAACAGCTCAGAATCGCTCACGCGGCTTCCGGCTCCACGGTGGTAATGGACAAGTCCAGTTGCTGATCCAGGCCGAAGAAGGAATCCGACATGCCTGGGGCGCGTTGCATCGCAGGATCCGGCGCGGTCCACGAGCTGTCCAGGGCCCACCGGAAAGAGGGGTCGGCCGTTGGCCACCGGACCATGGAACCCTGAACATCAACACAGTGGTGTTGGAGTTCAATTCACTGCATTCTTAGGTCACACCGTCACACCTGTCACATCTCCCAGGTGGCAAACTCCTTATAGAGGCGCAAGACATGTTGAATTCGTACTGTGTGCCCGAAAACTGTTTGTAAGACTATACAGTCACACAGTAACCAAACCTAGCACTTTGAGATGTAAGCCTAGGGATGCTTTCATTTGAGAAGTCTCCATGTTTGGAAATGCCACGCACCCATCATGCACACCCAACAAATCCACCAGGCCTGGGTGGAACTCCAAAGGTATCGGGACAACAACGTCATGCTGTTCTGGCCTACCTCCGTTTCTGCTAGGGTAGGCGGACTTGGTCATGTTGTTCTACTTGAGGATGTGGGACAGGGGCACAAGAAAAAAGAAAACTAGTAGCAAGGACACTACTAGGTGGAGAACCTGATAGCCTGGCTTGAAACCCGTGAAACAGTCCATGATGGCCAAGATTCCAGGTAAAGCTCTGATTTTCCCTTGTTCAAAAGTGAACATGACTATGATGGTATCTATTGAGTGTCTGAATGAATACACTTATTCACGTGATTCCAAAAACATCCTCACTCCAGGACTGCGTTGTTGGACACGACTAGCCGTAAGGACCAATATATCCGGTCCCACATCCTCAGGTAGTTAGACCGCCCTGGCACCCACCCCAAGCACCTTAGAAGCGGAGGTAGTTGGAGCCCTACTTTTGATCAAATTCTCGATTCTGATCCTTCAAGGACCTCAAGCTACAAGGAAAGTGGCACAATCTACATCGATTCTACCATGCTTCTCTGTTCTTACTACCTGGACCCTCCAAAGTACCCTAGAAAATGGGACATGACCTCATAAATTAACAACAAAACACACAGGTACTTATGACTAATTTATGAATATTAATATTACATACTTGCATATAGAAACTCATTCTCCGGAGTACCTTTGAGACTCCAAGTCTCAATGTCAGTCTCCAAACCTCAAACGCCGTCACGCCGTCCCCTTCCCGCTGCCCGCTTCCAACCCCCTTCCCGCGACCGGCAAGCGGGCGCGCCCTGAGTCCCCCGCAAAGCACCGACAAGGTGAACGTCTCACCGACTTCGTCTGCAGGGGAGCAGAACCTCGTGCGCGCACCCCGTCCGTCTCAGCTCCGCGACCGCCGACTCCGTCGGTGGGTGGGGCCGGTCCAAAGGGCGCGGGAGAGGTTGTTGGATGTATGTTCGGTGAGGGATTGGGCGCGCGCAGGATGTATACTTGTGGGAGTGGCTGGAGTTAGACTCCATGCAGGAAGTCGTGGACAAAAAAGAGGAGCTGCTTCAAACCCGATCCCTGTAGGAATCCAGTCGTATCTTCTCAGAAGGTGTGACTGGACCTCTACATAACAGTGTCGAACACATCACCGTATCTCAAAGGGTTTGTGGATGTTTAGGGGATGTGGCAAGGATAGCCCGCGTACTGTGAGGGCGTGTTGGGAGTTGGAGCCTGTCAGCGGGGATAAACATCTGTCAGCAGCCTGAAGGACATGATCCTGGATGATTTTGACTGGAAAAAATGCACTTCTCCAACTGCTGAGATCGTTGAACCAAATTAAGCCTGCCCAGGGTGGCAAATGAGACCTTGAAGCAAAGTTTACTGTAACAGGACTCAACAAAGTGCACCGTTTGCTTGGTTTTGACATGTTTTGACCTGCCCAAAAAATACTAACTGTACAACATAGTATAATTACCCCTTGTCTAACAAAACACATCGAATCCATATCAATCCACTGGTACAGCAAAAACCACCTCTCTGGTAAAAATGTCTACTTCTACGGCAGGGTCTGAAAGAGGACACCCTTGGAAGATGCAAGTACATAAAGCTTCTAAACTAGCAAACTTTGATAAACTTTGCGTTTGCAAAACAACTCATTGCCTAGTGAAACTAAACTACTATGTATATGTGCAGTCAGCGTAGCAACACTTCAACACAGCAGGTTCAAAGTAGATGAGCAAACCGATTCCAGCTTGTTCAGAAGGTTAGGCTTCTAGAACTTCTTGACCTCCCCCCTACTGAATACACCAGTAGACACCAAAGACCGTAGAAAACCTGGCCCTGTACACCTCCACAAAGGGCAACACACATCAAAGAATGCCACCCTCCAAGTGAATGGACTGGGGCAGAAGGGCGCTGATGGAAGGGGAAGCTCATATTCAATTCTCCAACTCTTGCCCTATAAGGACCCCAAAATTTCCGGATCCATCTCCATGCAAGCTGCTGAAAGTTGATGCGCTTCTCAAAGCGTTGCCTGGCCGACGAGGTGATTCTGGGACTGCGTGAAATGCTTTGATCTGAAGACCTTCGGAGAATGGAACTCCAGGTGGCTTGAGAGGCAAGTTGAAGTTGACTTCCTCTCAACCGATTCCCAGTATCTTCCGGTGGCTTCCGGAATCAAGCAAAATGTTGCGGCATTGCAGGTGGATGTGAAAACAGGGCAGTTGAAGGGTCTGGGCAAACCAGTAGGTCTTTGGCAACATCACATGACCAGCAGTATAGGTTTGAAGTTCCTGCTAGCATGAGTGCCGGTCTTGGAATCCCAACGTGCTGGGTGTGTCATTGCAATTCTTCATTGCCTCAGTCTGGACTTTCAAGGGCGTACTGGCCACACAGACTTAAAGTAAGGCGACTCTTCCATGCTATTCCCTCTACAATTGGGGCAAGAAATTGCCAGGAGTTGCGTACCTGGAGTCTCAAAGTACCTCGGAAAATGGGTACAAGCACCTGTTTTTATGGGCTCATGTCCCATTTTCTAAGGTACTTTGGAGACTCCAGGTAGCTTCTTGTTCCTATAAGCTTCTTGTTCCTGGTAGTACAGCCAGGAGCCCCGTTCGTAGCGTCCCTGTTCGTATCGCTGCGATGCCAGGAGCCCCTATATGCAGCAAAACTCACCAGCCTGGTGGGCATCAAGGCCTTCTTGATCGAGACTAGCTCGTCCACCTGCGAGTTCCCGCCGGAAAGACCGAAACCCGAGAGTCGTCACCGGCGCGCCGGTGACCAAGGTCACTTCCGGCGCCTCGATCCGGCATTCCGGCGCCATTTTTCCCATCTTCGGAAGGGCGGAGCTTAGTTGGAGGCGGATTGGCTCAAGAGGTTTGGAACATCCTGCATTGATCCACCTTATCTAAAAGTTAACATGTCAGCCAAGACGTGACGCATCGATTCGGGCTTCCGCCCGCGCCCGCGCGACGTCTGGTAATCTAGTCTGGTCCCGATCGCTTCGTCCGTGTGCCCTAGCGGGTCCAAGGTCATCGGGCGATGGTGCCGGACCTTGCGTGGATGGCATGGTGCCCGTGTGTGTGGGGTGCCATGCACTTCCATGTGATGTGTTCGTAGCCATCCAGAATCCAGACTGGGTTTCAAGTGTAGCTCTCCTGATCCGCCCTGGCAGTGGTGCCACTAGCACGCAACCGAATGTCCGTGGGGTTCTGGATGCGAATGATGGGCGAACACGTCTGTGATCAAATCAATATTTAGCCCCCTTCAAGGCAGCCCTATACACTGCCTGGAACTATCAGTGGAAAAATTGCATAATGATCCAGGCATTAGCTGGGTTGAGTTAGCCATAAGCTGCTCTTTATATCAGCTTCCACTATGGCCTGGTTAAACAGAACAATAATCAAGTCCTATACCTATACCACTTGATTCTCGCCCAAAATCGTTGCATACTATAAATCACTCTTGAGGCAAGCCTATGCGTTCCGACAAATTGTCCCATATCTTTCGACACGACAAACGTGGCGCTTATCCCATCCTACACAAAAACTCTACCTGTTCTAGCTTACTTCTCACCTTGGCTTTGAACGCCAATGCGTGGGAGGGATCTCGTCCACGGTGTCCGTTTCAAGAAAAAGGTTATGCCAGTTCTTCAAGACTACCATGCTTTTGCATCAAACAAAGCCTCCGACTGGCATTTGCCAGTTCAGCTAGCTCTATCTCAGATACTTCCCAGGCTTTCTGCCATATGGGATGTCGCAAAACGCCGACCTTTTCAGAAGATCACTCGCATAAACATCTTCCAAAGAGGAAAGCAACTGGACGAGTTGCTTAATAGACGTCAGTGGCCACACAATATGCCAATATTGTGAGATATTGTGAGTGCCTAGGGAATTCGTTTTCGTGAGGACTTATCCTCTGTTTCACCTTTTACTTAGGGGTTGTCGATTCAGGTGATTTTATATACAAATTCAAATTATATAATATGTTACATCATGTTATATCTGTCGATGGGGATCATCCTGGTTTTCCCGTCCTTCGTCAATCACATGTTCTCCTTTGAGAGCCCGAGAGAGTCAAGACCGTCAGCTACCGCGCGAGTTCGGAACATGGTCGGTCTACCGGCGGTGATGAATTCACTTCGATTCCGAGAGTAAACCAGATCGGAAGAAAGCTCGGCAGAAACGGCAGAAACACACAAAGTACGAGGGGGTAGACCGGGAGTGTCCGAGCTAGTACAGCACGTGGTCCATCAAACGCATCTGGCAGGAAAGTGACCTCTCTACCATACAGCTCGCATGTACAGACTGGATATGTCACACCACAGATTCTGTGGATGCTGACAGTCTGACAGTTGCTGCTTTGTTCACCAAAAAAAAGTCACATCCACAACTGACCAAATGATCCTCCATGATCCTCCAAATGATCAACATGCACAACAAAGTCCTCGCTGGTGGACCGGGTTTAACGCCTAAACCCGGAGAGTTCGCAAAATCAACGACGCGAGCCGTCAACAAATAACCGCATCAAGGATCGCCTCAGTATCGCCCAGGATGCACCACCAGGAGTAGGTCTTCTTCTTGGGAAACCTGCCAACGGGTCGTGAAAGCTTTGATAACGACTTAAGGATCCAAAGATAAGGCTGCTGAAGCTCGCTGACTGCTTGCATGAAGGGTTCGACTTCATCACTCCCAAGTCAGAAACATCTCATGGTGTCTCATGGTCATGTCCCATTCTCTCACTCCCCTGACCTGGAATCGTGTCCAGGTACCTCTTGGGTCTACATCCGCTCACTCCGGCCTCGGCGCGTGAACGAACCTCATGGGCTCGTTGTCGTAGCACAGCACGACGGTGAGTTCCAGTTCACGGTCCGGTGGCACCTGACCGGTGGCTGGCACCGAAGTCTGGCTGGAAGACCAATCTCATGGTGGATTTCCTGGCTGAGCACCTAAATCAATCCATGTCCAGGTCGTCTGTAGATCGGCTTTTCTGTTCTCGTCATGAAAGTGTGCATGCTCTCGTCTCAGGGAGTCTAGATTCGCAGAGAGTGTCGAGCAATGGGGGGAACCTTGTTGCATGGTGGCTTGAACACCTCGCAGCATACTGAGCCATGGCCAAGTATGACCGACAAAGGCACGCCGGCCCTATAGCGCAAAGCCACACCTAGCCTTCCATTCGAGTATTTCGAGAATGGTTGACCTGGTCTTGCAGTCTAAAATACTCATTGTAACATCAATGATTGTTTGGTAGCGGCTAGCGGCTACTGAATCAATGGTGGTTGGATTCCTTTTTGGGGCACACTCAGGCGACTTACAAGGATCTGCAACCCTTCGGGAGCTTTGAACATGTGATTGACTGAAATAACTTGTGATTCCAAGGTGGCGGGCTGCTCTGGGCCCTGTGCTCTGAAAGACACAGTGATTGAAAGCCCCTCTGTCAAATACTATGTACTGGTTGCCCAAGCGCCCGAGCTGGCTACCCGTCACCCTGGAATATTCATGGAAGTGGAGTTCACTCCTTGTTGATAGAGGATTTCATGGTCTTCCAAGGGGCCATGCCATTCACTTCCATGATGATTCCAGCTGTGTTAGTGCAAAACCACACCATCCACACCATTTGTCACACAAGGGCCCCCGGCCACAAAAAATCATCAAACATTCCCTCTTCGCCTCACCGTACGCGCGATGCGACATGCGCGAAGAAGCAAAAGCGCCTTGTAGGGGGAGGGCACCAACTTCCCCTTGCGGCGCTTCACCTTTCCCTCCTCCGCTTCAGTGGGAGCCTCCTTTTCCTCGGCGTCCTGACGTGGGGGGAGATCTGATGGTGGGTGTAGGGAGGCATCTTCCCTACACCTCCAGTCGTACCTCCTGAGAAGGTATTGAAAAGCTGACCTTCAGGGCTCTTCGGAGGATCGGATTCCGAACATGACCAGCCGACAAACGCAAACATCCGCATAACCCTTGCTGAGCTATCCTGTCGATGAGTATCGTGTTCCTGGCTGTGCATCATTCTTTGTGGGGTCATCTGTAGAAGTGGTGGTCATCTGTAGAAGTTCTGTAGAAGCCTCAAGATGCAACAGGTCTTGGCTTGCTGTGTGAGCCTGGTCGTGATACTGCGAGAAAGGCTTGGAGCAGCTAGAAGTTTACTTTGATGGTATCACCTCTGCAGTAACCACACTAATTGCATCCAATTGCACATTTGCAATGGGAACTGTCCCCAGTTCCACCAAATACATGCACGACCATGGATTCCTCTTACTGATTCTTACTCGCCGTAGATCGCTGGAAAAAGAGTTGGGTTCACCGATCGAACTGTCTTCATCTGGCTAGGGTGTCCTTTTTCCCCCAAAAAGGTTAGGCAGTTGACCCACTGTTCAAGGGATCTGGCCATCCCTACCTGCACCAGGTACATGTTTCTTTATAGGGATCCAAGTACCTTGCCAGAAGGTGATTGGAGACACTGTTATGTAGCTTTGGGTCCCGTCATAGCTTCTGAGAAGGTATATACTTCGGGATAGGCAACAAAACGGCGTGAACGCCAGAAAAGGCGCCGGCGTGTTTGGCCGTCTGAGACGGTCCGTCCTCGGGATCTAGGATTCGTAATTCCACCCGCACGCGCAGCCTGAGACGCGAAGGTCGAAGCGGTCAGTGGTCCCAGTGGGGTCGAAGCGGTCGGAGTGGCGTTGGGTCGCAGGGGCTTGTTCAACCTCGACAGGGAGTTGTTGGTTGATGTTTTATTGGTTGCCCAGACGCTCCAAACTGCTCTTGGTCCCTCAAAACCCTAGGGATTTGAGGGTCCGGCCCCTACTTAGGAGGGTCCATAAGCGTTTGGGTGTTTGTTTCTTGGTTTCATGTTTCGGCAGGGAACATCGGCAGGACACACTTTTGGAAAGACTGTCCGTTTGGGGTTTCCTGTTGCAGACACCGCTCCATCCGCTCAGGACCTTCGACGCAACCGACCTCTACAACCTCGAGGGTTTCAGTCTGGAGACCCCACAGGGAGGGACTGCCTGCTTTCAGGTGAAGTGGAACCAAACCTCCTAGGCCTGTAGAGGAAAAGTGAGGACCAACCAGGAAAAAGACTCTACCAAGGGACCATGACACGTTCCACTTCGTTTGTTGGAAGGGTAAGCTTGAAGACTTATAGCCCTGAACCAGGCAAATCTCCACATGACACATTGTCCCCATCAATCGACGTTAATTGTGTTCCCCACCCTGTGTGCATCCTTTCTGTTCGAACGACCATGTGGAGTGAATGAAGTCCGCGTGACCCTCCCTGTCCCCTGTCGGGAGGGCAAATCACATGGGCAAATGCTCTCCTTAGTGACCCTCTCAAAGTTGCATCTCTCTGGACCGTTTTTGGTTTGCGCCCTGACTCCACTCCGATCGACCCGAAAACCGAAACAGGTGTTGGACCTGAACAAAATGGAGAACAAAAAAAAAACAAACAATTCCTGTAAACTGGGAGTCCATTCGTTCGTACCCCCAGAAAATTGGTAGTCATATACCTGGTTTGATAGGGCCATGTCCGAGATGTGCCATTTTCTAGGGTACTTTGGAGACTCCAGGAAGATCTCACCCTGAACGTTTGGGACCAACCATCACATGCACATGAGAATTTTTGAAGTATGATATCATGGTGAAAAAATGAGTGTTAGTTTATGAGTTCATAGTTTACTAGCCCATTACTTTTCCGACCAACTTGATTGAACATCCTAACCATCATCCAAATTGCAATTCCACACCTGCCTTTTTCTGAACATCTTCCACCCAAAAAACAAGGACACAGACACAAACAAAAATATCAATCCATTAACACCCCTTCTCACCCAATCCGACATTTCTGGATGTGCATCTAAGCACACCAAAGTCAGTCCGTCAGTCAGGGTGCCCTACCCTGACCTCACCGGTTCGACCTGTAGTTCGCCTCCCCGGCAAAGCCATGCTACTCAATACCGGCCAAGGGCGACGTCTCCGTCTCACACACACACACACTTTGATAATGGGTTTGCAGTTACATCAATTCCCGGAAGAAATGAATGAGGGAACGGAAAGGTGGCAAAGTCGGAGGAAAAAAATTGTTCAACATTGTTTGCAAGTGCACTCAGAAACGATCTGACACACAGCGCGGCTGCAAGTCGCCGGTGGGAAAAAAATTTGGGGAATTGGACAAAAAATCGGGAATTGGACAGCATGGCCACAAGTTCTGGTTGCAGGTACATGAGAGTGATCAGCTCTCACTTCCCTCGACACACCATAGCTTCGTTGCGTCAGGTAGGTGTGTCAAGCCTGACGCCCCTGCTGGTCTTGTGGACAGAGTAAAACTCTTAGAAACAGAGGGTGACACACACACACACCCGGCCGCTTTGCGGCGCTCTCGCGCAAAGCCTGAATAGGCACCTAAAAAGCCTTAGAAACAAGAGAAGAAAACCAGAAAGAGCAGCGCTAAAAGGGCAGGAGAGAAAGATAGGGGTAGCAAAAAGTGAATACTTAGCCCTTGACTGGGGTAGGGAAACGAGCCTCAAGAACCACCTAAAAAGCCTGAAAGAAAGCCCAAGAAAATGACGAAAAACGCAAGAACGAAAGTGGGAGGCAGGGAGGGGATGTATGTACATGTGTGTGTGTGTGTCCGTGTGTGTGTTTGAATACCTACTTGGCCGGCGGGACTTTGCTAAGCTTAGCTAAGTCTAACTTGGACTTATAAGTACTTAGTAAGTACTTAGCTTGGACTTAGCTCAGGGTAACTTAGCTCGGACTTAGGTCGGACTTTGCCTGGACTTAGCTTGGACTTAGCTAAGACTTATAAGTCCGAGCTAAGTCGAAGCTAAGTGTTAGTCTTTTTGATCAGCTTGAGCTAAGTCAAAGCTAAAGTCTAAAGCAATTTTTGAAAAACAATGAAAACCGAAAGCTCGGTCTGGGAGTGCGCTGGTAGACTTTTTTCTCTCACGCGAGCATCAACAGTCATCATCTGAGCGTCAACAGCCAGCATCAACAGGCATCAAATATTTAACACTAGTTTAATACATTGAAAGATAGTTTTTAGTTAATAACACTGTTAATACTATCATAGTTATTGCATCACAATTTAGCTAAACATATTTATAAGCAGTATATATTGTCAGAAGTTTTCTGACAAATTAATGTTGACATGTACTTTTAGACCAAGATAGTGGCAGACTTTTCTGACATTTGTAAGAATTTTCTGACATTGGCCAGAATATTGTTCTGACAAATGTCAGAAATATTGACTATTTACACATATTTTCTGACAAATTTTAGTTAAGATTTAGTTTTAAAAGGAAATATTGTCAGATGTTTTTGACAAATTGTTGTTTACATTTGCTTTTAAAAGGATATATTGTCAGAATTTTCTGACAATTGTCCGAATATGTTTCTGACCTTTGCCAAATTTTTTGACATTTGTCAAAAATGCTGAAGACAAGTTCAACACTTGTCTAAATAGAATTGGGATAATGGTTAAAGTCTTCGGGATGAATGATTCAAAGACTTCAGGATGAAGACAATGTCAAAACTTTATATCATGTGCCTGCTTGACGCATCCTATGTGCGCCAAGTACTCTATAGGATACTGTAGAAGAAATCAACAAGTGGCCATGCCGCGGAATTTGACAAAGAACACCGGCGCGGCCGTATGCTGGCTGGTTGTCGGTTGGTGGCTGCGTTCGATGCATTTTGTGTTGATTTTGCTTCAATTTTTAAGTTTCGACTTAGCCATGACTTAGCTTTGACTTAGACTGGACTTAACTTTGACTTAGCTTGGACTTATAAGTCTGAGATAAGTCGAATCTAAGTCCAAGCTAAGTCTTAGCCCACTTAACTTTGACTTACTTACTAACTCTTATAGGCTGAGCCAAGTCCAAGCCAAGTAAAACCTAACTTCTATAGAGGTTGGCAGACTTCTAATATTGGTTATAACTAGGTTAGGTATATTTATAACTTAGGTTATAGGTCCACTTAGAGCAACCGCCGGCCAAGTAGCACTCTAGAGTTACTGATTACTTAGCGGAAGCGAATTGGGTGCAATAGTTAGGGAGCAGGACTTTAGTCTTAAACCGCCCGGGTAGAGTAGACTAGAAGAGGGACAACAGAGGGAAAGGCACCGACACACAAGTGTGTCCAGTACCATTTCCCTCTGTTACCCCAATTAGAGGGGGGGTTTGTTTGGGGTAGAGAACTCGGCGGGGGTTTATTCTCCGTGGCTCGGCAGCATATGAGTCAGGAAATTCATTGGGTGAGACATGGGATTCCAGTACCATAATCCAACGAGTACAGGGAAAGTAAATTAGAAATGTGATTCACAATGGTCTCCGCGCCGCCTTGCGGGGGATCACACTGTGCACCCAAGTGGGACGACACAGCGGCACACACTTTGAGATCCCTCACGCTCCTGATCCTCCTCTTCATGGCCACGTGGTGGAGGTGCAGGCCTTGTCTTAGGATGCCCCTTCTTGTCCATATCATGCAACTCATCAGCTGGAGGTCGCTTAGTTGCAGCCTCTCGTCCAGTCTTGCTCGACACGCGACATGGAGCAGCAGCAGGGTCCAGGGTAAGCCCTGGGTATCCCCACTCAACTAAGAGGTCATGAGCAGCTCCAGGTCCCAAAGGTGCCCATTTGCGGATGTGGATGATGTCCTCCGAGTGAACTGACGCACGGCACGACTGTGAGTCAACCCTGCATAGATGATGCAAGGTGCCTCGATGAAGTCCTCCGGTTTTCTCCACATTCTCTATATACCACCTGTAGTCAGCATCATTGCACCCTTTGTACCGCAGCTTTACAAAGGCTCCATCCTGCGTTGCCTTGTACCGCTGAATGAGCTCACCCACTGCCATGCCAACCACCCTGTTATCATCGTTGTATATTTCCATGGCAATGTACTGTCCAGCTTCTGTTTCGAAAGCCCAATACATGCCCTCGAAAGTCCCTTGGGACATGTGCTTGCCATCTACGAGCAACACACAAAAACTATGCCATGACATGCACACAGCTTCCCCCAAACTTTGTTTGGAGTCCACATGCAACCATGGCCTGACAAACCCCAAATCGGAGGCCTTGGCATGTCCTGTACAATCTGCAGAAGCTCCTTGTGCGCGTCGGCGCTGGGCAGCGAGAGCTTCGTGAGGATCTGCGCGGAGCGACGGCCGGGATAGTGGATGACGAAGATAGTGGATGACCCAGGAATACCCACCCAGGAATGAGACAATAAACAACTTCTTGAAACACATGAGATAACTCAAAAGTATTTTCAGACCATGGCTGTGGGTCAAAACCCGGAGCCAGAATCCCTGGTAGGTTGACCATGTATAAAAATAATCGTCTATTCAGTTCATTCTTGGTGGGAAAAGCCAGGGTCCTCCGATTGTGACCCACCGAATCCCACAGCCATATCTCATGACATGGAAAAGAGCCCTTCAAGCTGGGCCACTCTGAAGGAGGTGGAGCATCCGAGTGGTAAGGTGATCCAAACCTCCATATGGTCAACCACCCAAGAATGAAGTCTTCTTGCGCCCAGAATCTCCATCACTTAGGGTCTACCCCTCCCGAAGAACTCTAGCTTCTGTGTGGGGCCAGGTCGCCACGAATGTCAACATCTGCAGAGTGCAAAGCGGTCATAACTTGAGTCAAATTCGCCATTTCCCAAAGGGCTGAGGCCCATCCTGCAGCAACTTCGCCACATGAGTCGTTCGGTCTGAAAAAAAAACTGCTAATTACTACCTGGACCATCCAATGGGTGTCCAAGGGTCATCTCTGTCAGTATGGGGTAGTCCAGACAGGACACCCCTTGCATGGTGCTGGATGGTGTCCCAGCACCTCCCCAAAAATACCACGTCGAGTTGCAACCTGCAACAATTGTGCAAGCTAATGATTTACTTCGTCCGGTCTTTGTGAAACGGAATGCCCGCTCCAAGCGTTTTCCCAGCCTTGGAGGCATCTCTTCGCTCAATCAGCTCAGGCAAGCTGTCCTCGTTTTGCCCAGCTTCGGTCCAGGATGTGGAGCATATGTCGGCAGCGAGGACTGGGATTGGAAGAATGGTTGGACTTGAGCAACAAAAAGGTCCAACATATATACAGAATATATATATATATATATGATCAAATATTCAATTGTAACAGTTATAACATATTAAACACTATATATATAACATATTCAATATAACAAGTATATCTTCAAATAACAGTAACTATATGACAACATATTGAAACACCATCTACACCTGACACCCGCCCAACCCCCGAACCAACACCGCCACCTGTCTCTCGTCGGTCTCGTCCGTGTCTCCCGGTCGACACCGGCCCAAGGCACCACTCCAAAGTCGCGCAGAATTCGGAGAGCCTTGTCCGACCTGAAAAGCGGCCGACGCGAACAGTGGCGCTGCTGGACAGCTTGATGACAAGACCCTTAGAGACTGCCAGGGCCAGAGTGCCAGCTCTGCCAAGGATCTCTAGCTTGCAAAGGGTCAACTGATTGACATGCATAAGTCATTTCTACCAGCCAGTGGGTGTATGGCAGGGCTCATGTCCTTTTGTGCGACCTGCAGCCCAAGGGTTCGGAGTGGCGATGGGGGAGTCGAAGGAGTTGAGCAAGGAGGTGAACGACCATGGCCGAAGGACCTTGCTTTCTGCAGGTGGTCTGTGCATGCGACTTCGCTGCACAACGGACATATAGAGGACAATGAAGCTTGCTTGGACATGGTCAAATTACACAGCGGGGCGGCTGACACCTATGTCCAACCATGTCAAACTATGCAGATTGATGGCTCTGCATGAATTCTTTGTAGAAGCAGTGCTTCCCCTACAGGTCCAAGCATAGCATTCATTGCAGACCCCAAGGCGTTGGCCTTGAGGGGACCTTAAGAAGGAATACCAAACAACAAACCAACCATAATACACGAAGCGAATCCATGAATCACCTCCATATTCCGATCTCCCAGCCACTCCCTGTACCGGTCACAGCCACGTTGTTTGCTTACGATTTGGATCAACAAAAAGGGACCCAATCTCAGAACACGCGCCGGACTCCCGGCTCCTTGTTTTTTTTCCCGAATGCGTAGCGAAGGGTTCTCGTTTAACTCTTGGGGGTCTGGGGGTAGAGCTTTGTTCGCGACCCGTTGCTTCTATGTTCGCAACCGTTGGCAACCGTCCGCAACCGTTCGCAACCGTTCGCAACCGTTCGCAGTAGAGCGCTAAGGCGCTGCCATTGGGGGAAGCTTTTGCAAGTGACTTTTCATGGATGTGTCACGTGTCAGTTTGCGACGCTATTCCATTGTGATTTGCATGAAAATGACATGTCGCGCAAGAAGCGTGATGCATTTCGCTGCACAGGCGCAGCGTTTTGTGAGATCCTCAGTTTGCTACGCAGTTTCATTGGGATTAGCATTTGGAGAGTCGTGTTTTTGGGGTGTTGGATGTGGCCGTGCCATTGGGATTTGCGTTTCAGGGTGTGGCATCGAAGCTCTGTTTTCGTGACAAGTCTCAGCTGAAGTGGCGATTTTGGTGGATGGGAGTGTGCTCAGAACGGATCGAAATCATTCCAAACGTGTGGTGTGGTGCAAATTTTGTTGAAGCTCACATGAGATGATATTGTCACTTTTCGCGGCAGGCGCAGTACTTTGTGCGGGTTTTGAGGCATGGTAGTGTGATTTTCGTGGCAGGCGCAGGGAATCGTGAGGTTGCGAGGTGTGACGGAGGTGACATTGCGTGGCAGGCGCAGTACTTTGCGCGCGTTAGACGTGTGGACGCGGAAAGATGCGTGGCAGGCGCAGGGAATCGTGAGGTTGTGAGTTGTGGTAGAGGTGACTGTCGTTGTCTCATTGGGATTGGCGTGTGAGCGGGTGTTGTTTGGAGGGGCTGGAATCGCGAAACTGCTTGGCAGGGCTGCGTGATGTGTGTGCTCCGATGGGTGTTTCCGCTTGACTTTTGGAGGAAGTCTCGTACGAAACGCTCGTTTTGGAGACTTTGACACGTGAGTATTTGAGGAAGTCTCGTACGAAACGCTCGTTTTGGAGAGTTGACACGTGACTTTTGGAGGAAGTCTCGTACGAAACGCTCGTTTTGGAGACTTGACGTGTGACTTTTGGAGGAAGTCTCGTACGAAACGCTCCGTTTTGGAGACTTGACGCGTGACTTTAGGAGGAAGTCTCGTACGAAACGCTCGTCTTGCAGCCTCGAAGCGTGACTTTTGGAGGAAGTCTCGTACGAAACGCTCGCGTGACTGCTTCTAGTGTGCAGACCGTGTCGCGACACGAGTGTCCCACAAGAGTGTCCCACAAGAGTGTTCCACAAGAGTGTCCCGCAACCGTGTCCCACAAGAGTGTCTCACAAGAGTGTCCCTTAAGAGTGTCCCACAAGAGTGTCCTATAAGAGTGCCCCACAAGAGTGTCCTACAAGAGTGTCCCACAAGAGTTTCCTACAAGAGTGTCACACAAGAGTGTCCCACAAGAGTGTCCCACAAGAGTGTCCTACAAGAGTGTCCTACAAGAGTGTCCCACAAGAGTGTCCTGTAAGAGTGACCCACAAGAGTGTCCTACAAGAGTGTGTCACAAGACTGTCCCACAAGAATGTCCGACAAGAGTGTCCCGTAAGAGTGACCCACAAGAGTGCTTTTGAGAGTGTCCCACAAAGAGTGTCCTACAAGAGTGTCGCGCAAGAGTGACCCACAAGAGTGCCCCACAAGAGAGTCGAGTGCCCCACAAGAGTGTCCCACAAGAGTGCCCCGTAAGAGTGGCCCGCAAGAGTGTCCTACAAGAGTGTCCCACAAGAGTGTCCTACAAGAGTGTCCCGCAAGAGTGTCCTACAAGAGTGTCCCAAAACAGTCTCCCCCAAGAGTTTCCTACAAGAGTGTCCTACAAGAGTGTCCCACAAGAGTGTCCCAGAAGAGTGTCCCGCAAGAGTGTCCCGAAACAGTGCCCCGCAAGAGTTTCCTGCAAGAGTGACCCACAAGAGTGTCCTACAAGATTGTCCCACAAGAGTTTTCCACAACAGTGGCCTATATGAGTGTCCCACAAGAGTGTCCTACAAGAGTGTCCCACAAGAGTTTCCTACAAGATTGACCCACAAGAGTGTCCTATAAGAGTGCCCCACAAAGAGTGTCTTACAAGAGTGTCCCACAAGAGTTTCCTACAAGAGTGTCTCACAAGAGTGTCCTACGAGAGTGTCCCACAAGAGTGTCCTACAAGAG